TCGGAAACCCTGTACAGGGTCTCTGTGAGTCGGAACCGACTCCACGGCACATAACAACAACAACAACAAAGAAAATAAAGATTTATGCCAAATGAGCAGCAAGGAAGGCTTATTGTATTCATTTTGGAATCTGGATATTTAGAAAGTTGGGAAACCTCTAAATCAAAGCCACAAGCGGAAAATTGCTTTGTGGGTCTCTATTTTACCTAACAGTCTTCTTTTGCATCATTCCAGATCTAAGACTCCAGCTCACACTTCTTTTTGACCCTTCCATAAATCTGTTTCATTTTTACTCCATACTGAACAGATCTTCATGTAAATGTTTGTATTTTTCATATGTTCACCTTGTCTCCTAAATTAATTTGTCATCCTTAGGATACTTCTTAAGTGCCTTCCTCTTTCCTCCCCTCCTTTTTTCCTTCCTTTTTTTTTTTTTAACCCTTTCTTTGACCCTACCATCCATCACCCAACTTTTCTAGAACATGTTAGTGGGAAGGACACAGAGATAAGCAAGGTGTTCTACCTGAAATACAGGATTTTATAGTTAATATAGTTAACATACTATATAGTTCTAGCAGTGTTAACATAGTTAACATACTATATAGTTCTAGCAGTGTTAACATAGTTAACATTCTATATAGTTCTAGCAGTGTTAGTGGGAAGGACACAGAGATAAGCAAAGTGATATACCTGAAATGTAGGATTTTATAGTTAACATATTTAACATTCTATATAGTTGACTAATTACTATTACAAATGTCTGTTCCAGATAAATACTTTCTTCTGAATAGTTGTTGTGAACATTCTAGAATATGTCTTTTGATGAACACGTAAGCATTTCTGTCACACTTATACCTAGATAGATGACTGCTGGTCATAGGGTGTACGTTTAAGCGGTAGTTCCAAATTACATTTTCATCAACAGTCTTCAAGTGTTCTTCATCTCTCTGCCCATATATCCATATGTTGTTGTTGTTGTTGTTGTTAAGTGCCGTTGAGTCAGTTCCGACCCATAGTGACCCTGTACAGGGTTTCCGAGGCTGTAAATCTTCATGGGAGCAGAAAGCTTCATCTTTCTCCTGCGGAGCTACTGGTAGTTTCGAACTGCTGACCTTGCGGTTCGCAGCCCAATTCGTTACCACTATACTAACAGATATACTGTTGTTATATTCACATGGTTAAATATTACACATCAAAGAATATAAATGGTTGATAATTGTAAGCAAAAAATAATCTGGATGGATCTCAAAAACATAATATTGAGTTAAAGAAGCCATACACAAAAGAATACGATTCCATTTATTTAAAGCGCAAAATCAGGCACAAATACTCTGGCCAAAAGACATGATAACCTACCCCTTTGAGAATAAGTTCTGGAAGGAAGCTCAGAGGGCATGCTGATAAGTAACCACGGCCTATTTCTTGACCTGGGTGCTGCTGGAAGAAGAAATTCATTAAAATTCAGGCAACTCCCCATTTACATGTTGTTGTTAAGTGTCATCCAGTCAGTTCCGTCCTATAGTGACCCTGTATGGGGTTTCCGAGGAGCAACTGGTGAGCTTGAATCACCGACCTTGTGGTTCAAACTGACTTTGCAGCCCAGCGCATTAGCCCACAGCACCACCGCACCAGGACTCCCCACATTTACATAGGCCCTTTTTAATCTATTTTATTCTTCAACAAAAAACTTTTGTAACAAACATTTGTTTTCCTGCTTCTCCAACAGCTATACTAAACTTAAGCTCCAAGTCACTCCAGAAGGACGCATTCCTCTCAAAAAGTAAGCTGCGTGAGCATTTCCCATTATTCATTTTCTTTTTCACAAAGACTTGAATCTATGCCATGATTGTGTCTGGGTTCTTCATGAAAAGGCGTGGTGACCCTTGTTTCTCCACGTGCTATGTCTTGCTACCCTGCCACTTGGGTTTCTTGCAGAGATTGCCATGGGTCTGTCTCCCTTTCAGGTGAAATCTTCAAAGAAATGCCAAATCAAGAAGGGAAGGAGAGGTGATAAATGAAACTCAAAAGACCATCTGAGATTCAGATCAATGTTAGGAGTGAAAATTGGGGGATCTTAGTGCCTTTTTCTACTAAGATCTCCTTAGCCTTAAAACAGAGGTTGCAAACTCAAATATCAGCAGGAGCCAGGCAGAGAACTTAAATGATTTTAACAAGCTAAGAGTGGGAAGAAACATTGAGGAGCAATAGTACCCTGTCTAAAAGAGAAAACAGCAATTCACCTCTGCCATTATTCCCCCTGGGAATGGTAGGATTCAGATGCTAGATTCTCTAATGTTTTCATGGAATCCATTAAACCAAAATCTGATATTCAATTTTCCAGTACTTAATTTTTTAAAACAAATTTACTCGTCAAGGAAGGGACATCTTTCAATCATACTCAGGGTTATAGCAACACAAGTCACCACTGATGGAGGGGTGGGGTCCGTGGATAAGGTTTATTGGCTTAGCCAGTAATCAAACCCACATCTCCTGCATGGAAGATAAGATTTCTCTCGCTGGTTCATCACTGTCTCCAGTGGTGACAATTTTAGTGAAGAGAGATACAGAAATGAATACAGATCTTTTTTCAGTCTTTGACTTACTAGCTACAGACAAAAAGCAATAGGTGACAGCAAGGGGACGGAGTTACAAGGATACTTATTTTTGTGCTTCATGATTAGCAATTATTTTAATGTGATGCTTTTCAATCAGGTCATCACCATACCTTCAAAATACTAATTTACTCTTAGATACTTTAGTTGTCGAAAGCACACCCATAGATCTCTCAGAACACATAGGCAGGTGCCTAGAGGAACAGGTTTCTAGTCATGGCTTAAATATGACTAAGAACGAGGTTTGATACAGTGGAACATTTTCAGTTGTCATCATTTGTATGTGTCGTAATCCATATACTTTTCAACACCCTTCATTTGTTTTGTTTTCACTTCACAGTGTATACCGCTTGTTTTCAGCTGACCGCAAGCGGGTTGAAACTGCTTTAGAGGCTTGTAGTCTTCCATCGTCAAGGGTAAGCATACTGCCTTGCTAAAAACAGCACAACTAAATAGATTTCAATAATCCATGGAAATGGAACTGCCCCAGTAGTGTCTAAATGTGATTTTTAAATTAGGAAGACCACAAGAGGACTTGTTAATATTTGCAGCATGAAGGACAACTGTTGTATTTTCTTTTATAGCCACCAAAAGACTGAACCTTGTTCTTTGTGAATATAAAAACAATGCACATCTAATCAGGCTTATAAAAAAATATTAAAAGCTTGATGTCATCAAGAAGACCATTTGAAATTTGAATTTAAACCTATATTGACATTAAAGCCTTTCTCGATGGCTCTTAAACTATTAGCTAATTATAGTAAGAAAGCATTATGATTTGGGAAATACTTGAAACAGTTATTTTATCCTTTATCAATTTCTAATTGTAAGAATTACAAATTATAAAACCAATTGATATGATAAATATATTTGATAAGCATATGTATAAATATATTTATTTATAAAAATAGGTGCTCTGGTAGCTCATAGTGGTTACGAGTTGGGTTGCTAATCTCAGAGTCAGCAGTTCAAAACTACCAACTATTCCTCTGGAGAACAATGAGACTTTCTGCTCCTGTAAAGATTTGTAGTCTCGGAAACCTTACGCAGGGTCGCTGAGTCGGAACCAACTCCACAGCATAACACCACCACCAATAAATTTATGAAAATATGTCTATAAGTAAACATACTTACATGCTCAGGGTGGGTGATCAAATTTTTTCCTGAGAAGGGTAAATGCTAAAAACAGTTTGATGACCACCTCCTTCTCTCACATGATGGCAAATTAGATCAGATAACACACATGAAATGTACTTTTTAAAACTTCCTGATATTTAGGATGTACTCAGTATACGTTGTTGTGTGCAAATTGTTTCTATCTCATAGAGACCTATGTGACAGGGAAGAACTGTCCCCATTGAGTTTTCTAGGCTGTAATCTTCCAGAGAGCAGATTCCCAGGGGTTCTCTTCTGTGGAATGGCAGGTGGGTTCAAACCACTGACCTTCGAGTTAGCAGCCAAGTGCTTAGCCATTGTGCTATCAGGGCTCCTTTTCAATATATGTTATCTGCCAAAATTAAAGTAAGTTGCCATAATTTTGATGCATTTTGACATGCCTGGCTTTAATACGATTTATTATCATCATTACTGGAAGACCAGTACCTATTGCAGAAAACTTTTCTTTACAATATATGTAGTAGAGCTCTCTTTTCTATTTTAT